ATGGGATTCGACACGGAAAGAAAATTGGTATTACGAATAGCAACTATCCTCAGTGGCTGTAGACCTATCGTTAATCGAAATTTTACAGTACGACAACCAGCAAGTTTTGAAGAGGGAGAGCAGCGCAGAGCCTCAACCAGGCGACATTTAAGGGATAATTTCAAATTCTCTATAGCTACTGCCTGTACTGTAAGCAAAAGTTAATGCTTTGTAGTTTTTTCATTTATTATCTGCTTCTATTCGGATTCAAAGTATATTCCGTACTTCCAAGAGCACTGTAGATTGATGGTTAATACACAGAGGAACGACTTTGTTCAACTTTAATACTTCCAAGCCTTAAAGCTTGCGCAGCTCTTCGATTTTTCGAAAAAGGAAGTCCTCAAATTGGAAGTTTGGATGTCGGTAGTTTTGAAGAGGTGCTTCAGTTAATAAAGGAAAAAAATTTCAGCAGTGTTCGCTTGTGTTACACCAAAAGCGCGTACTCCACGAAAACTAAATTTTCACGCTATTGGTTTGTACAAGAGGGGTGGGAATTTCCATAGAAATCTGATAAACAAGTAATGCAAAAACATGTAACCTGTAAATAAATAAATAACGTTCATTCCAAATATGAGCCATATCTAACGCTCGTATCTATATTTTTTTGGCAGTATAATTTTTTTTTTTTTGGATTCCAAATATGGATACTGCGTTTTTTCCAAAATACTGCATTTATACTTTTTGCTGCCTAAATTTTTTAATACAGTGTTCGTGGAAACAAGCTATAAAAATGCATATTTAGTAAACCGTTATATTAAAAAAATTGGCACACGACATCTTGACCAATTTTGACTATTTTCCTTTCGTTTGTCTAATGTTTATTTTTTTTTTTTATTAAAGGCTAGCTAATTATATAATACTTAACACCATATAAATCCACCTTTCAAACTTTTTAAAGAAATTAAAAAAAAATTCACTACAAGAAACTTTGTATTCATAATTTTTACAAAAATTCCAAGTATACAGTTTTGTAGCAAGTTTCAATAGGATAAGAGTTCGAATTAGTTTTTGGTTATTTTTTTTGCCTACGGTGTTATTGATTTCTTCCATTCAAAACCACTTGTCGAATATAGTAACTTTGTATGAAAGAAAATGCGTGACGCCGTCAGCAAAAGAAAATAAATCAACGGTATTTTGTAGACACTTCAAACTACATAGAACATTGTTGTTGTGCAACTTTTTTGAATGTTTCTAATTTTTATACAAAGTGACAAAATTTATATTTACATAGCTTTTGTTGGACATATCATTTTGTCTCGGGGTGTACAACGGTACACATAATACCAGGAATTACTATATTTTATTGGAAAACTGTTTCAAAAAATACTGTACTGTAAAAATGCTTTTATTTTTAAATAGAGACACTGCGAAACGGTTTGTTTTCGCAGTAATATATAGTTTTTTGCCAGAAAAAAGGTACGAGCGTTAGCCATATCGGACCATAAATACGAGTTTTTCAAATATCTCCACATCTGCACCGCCTAGCGGAGTAATTCATCTTTCATATTGCACTGTCATCGGGTTCTGTGCTAAGTTTGAAGTTTCAAGTCTCTAGCTCATCGGCAAGTTTATTGCAAGACTTGATTACACAAACAAGTGAAACGTAATAAAAGCTTGTAAAAATTGGAGCGCCTTTTATTCTTCTATCGTTACCTTGAATCACCTTACCTTAATAATGCAACAAAATTGGTATTAAAGAATAGGATGACCACTATAATTGAAATAATTATTACTGGATGCGGCGTGTTTTAAGTTGAAGACTTTTTTTTTTCGTTGATGGAGCTTCGCATTTTTTCTCTACAAAGTATTTGTGAAACTTTTTATTTGAATGGAAGAAAACGTGTTAAAAAATTTGCCAAAAATCAGCGACAAGTGGTAGCTACTTTAAACTAGCACTTTATCATACTAAAATTTAGTGGGCTACAAAACTGCATAACAAAAAAATAAAAATTAAAAAAAAATTTGTTGAAAGTTGAAAAATTTGCTTGAAAATTTATGAATTTTCCTGAGGTTTCCACAAAGTTTATAAACTATATTTTTATGTTTTTTGTTGTAGTATGAACTATATTTGTCGGCCGCTGTGGTGTAGTGGTAAGCAGTGCGCGCTTTCACACATCCGCACCTGGGTTCAAGCCCTGGTCAAAGCAACATCCCAAAAAATATAGAAGACGGTTTTTTCTAAACAGCGGTCGTCCCTCGGCAGGCAATGGCAAACCTCCGAGTGTATTTCTGCCATGAAAAAACAGCTTCTCATAAAAATACAATCGCCGTTCGGAGTCGGCGTAAAACTGTAGGTCCCTCCGCTTTGTGTGACAACATCAAGGCGCACGCCACAAGTCGGAGGAGAAGCTCGGCCAAACACTAACATATGTGTAAGCGCCAATCTATTATTATTATTATTATGAACTATATTTTTATAAAAAATTAGCGGGAAAAATGAAAACAAATTGTTGCATATATTGGGAAAAATTCCTTGTGCCAATACCTTTGGCCGTAAGTGTACGTCATCTTTTTTTACTTTCAACTATTGAAATACGTATTTTTGTAGCCTATTTCTAGGCAGTGCGTTTTGCATTTCTGTCGCCATGAACAGGCAACATGTTTATATACATGACATAACATGAATAAACATTGAAGCAATATGCTGCTGGGCTAATTCCTGAATATGTTCGGCCTCATGCGTCTGCTGGCTTTAGAAATCGCATTGTACAAACCTAGATACATATGTATTGTGAGACCAAATTTAAAAGTTCTTTTCCCCTCAGAATTAGAGAGTGCAATCAAGTATCAGCTATGTATTCTTTAAAATCAGCTATAAAATATGAAGCTTTTTACTAGTAATTTTATCAAAACCATCTCTGAAATAAAATAAAATGTAAATCCCTTTCATTTTTGTCATGAAAATATTGTATTTGTTTTTTGCTTTGCTTACAAAAAATGATTAGAAACTTAAAACTAAACTTTCAAAAGTGTATTACGCGAATATTTTCGACTTCAGGAAGTGCTATGTATGTATGTAATTTATGAATTGTAAGTTTGTATTTCGGGAAGTATATAAGTTGATCTAAAGATCTGTCTCTCGACTTAAAGGTCTTGATGGCACTTCTTCAATTTTATCCAAATTTGTTTCTATTGCCGTCGTTGCTGGCGTTGTTGCCAGTTTCATTGGTTTTGGCGGTATTGGTGGGAGAACTTTAACGCCCGCAGTTGGTGTCACCGGCTTCTTTGCAGGATCCTCATTTGCCGCAGTAATATTTAAAGTTAACGGTGTCTTCTCTTCTGCTACCTGCTCTTCATGCTCTTCCTGCTTTCCACCATCATCATCCACGGCACTTTCAATATTAAATGATTTCAAATTACCAAGTTGTGCACGAACATCTTGTGCCGACAAATGATGAAGTGGCACATCAGCTCTTACAGCCATCCGTTTGGGACTGCCATCATCGGGTTTATGTTTGTCTGGTGGGAAAACGACTTGTGCATAAGTAACGACTGTGTTATTGTTGTTAGTCTCTTGTACGCTATTTTCACCAGCTGAAGAATTTGTCAGCGAACTGGGATTGCGGAAGACGGTGATTTCCGATTTGGGTGCAGGGCGTGTGGGTTGTGAGTCAAGGCGTCGCATTGGCGAATCTGTTGTTAATGTAGTTGCGGGACTTCCGCCAACGGCTTGCTGTACGCCAGTAGCCTGAGGATCCTCGTGTGGTATGGGTGAGTATAGTGAAGGTGAGTAATTCGGGTCGATTGCTTTACAATTATATACATTAAGATCTTTTACGAAAATGTATACAAGTATGTCAAAAATAATGCCAATTAAAATTAGTACTGCTGATAGTATATTTAAAATGTTGCCATGTTTTGGCGTCTCACGCAATAGACAACGATTATACTCCGATGTCCAGTAGAGACAAGTATATCCTGTAAAGGTAAAGTATAGTTAGGTGGTTCTTATTTTCATGAAGTATACACAGTTGGTATTTGAAGGTTAAATTCTCACTTGTAACCATCTCATATGCGATGTGCGTTGGTATGTAGGCAAATATGCCGAATAAAGTAAGCTGTGTTGCCAATGCAAGTGCCTTGTCCTGTGGCAATACGCTTCGTAGTGTTATTATTACCTTTCCTATAGCGCTGGCACCCACAACTGCGGCAGCAGACAAACTTAGTACCTGAAAACCGATCAACATGCGTTGACAATTCGCAAAACTGCAAGCACCTTCGGTGGCACGCAGATTGCCCTGCGGCTCCGCATTGGAGTTCGAGGAGCAGGTACAGCCTTCATAAATCTATAAAAGATGAGAAAATATAGAGTTTTTTCAGATATAAATTTAAATATGTTTGTAAAAGTATGCTAGGTCCGATTAGGCGACCATGTGTGAGTCGATATGGTCGAAACCCAAATCATTTTTCGACTGACCAATGCATCTACAGGGGGCTATTATCGAAATCGCCGATTCAGAGGAGAAGATAACGCCGATTACTGGCTGCTTGTAGAAGTGTGCTATCGCCCATTTTTGGCGATTGGTTTTAAATTGGCGATGGACAGATAAAGCTTTTACTCTGCTCGCGCCTACACAAAATGTATAGATAGTTTAAAAGAGCTTTGCCCCAGGCAAGGCAGTGCTTATGAGTGCTCATCAGTGTTTTAAATGAATTATTAAAAAGCTTGAAAGTCGGGAGAAAAGAGGGAGTTTCCTGCGCGGATTACTTAGCTGTTTTAAATTCGTACCAAAAATTAGTGTACTGATGGACAAGGCCGAATGGGATTTGAAAACCAAACTTGTTTTCTTCACAAGGAAACTAAAGAACCCTCGAGGTGAAAAACGTTGGTTTATCTCTGACTAACTTCAAAACTGGGTATAGTCACCGCACGTCATTTACGGTAGATACATCGCAAACGTCTTACCCCTCATAGCTTGCGGAGCTGTAGTGTGATAGAAATCACTGGATGAATGTAGCAATCAGAAAATAATTGGAAGAGGTCAGAGGCTTGCATACCTCGATATACCAGGCGCTGTGAGCAATGCACACCAGAAGTGTTGAATATGATCCTTCACTCAAAGCCGAAGGGAAATGGTAAGGTCGTAAAATCTCCCCTTCGATTTCAATCTATAGAAGTTGAGAGAATGGCCTAGGCAACCACCAATACTAGGTGGAAAGGCTTGCACACCTCCTTGGTATCGCGCTCGCTCTGGCCACGGCTTGACGAACGAAGAACACGGAGTTTATTAGGGCTCTCAAAGCGCTACGTTTCCTACAGGAATATTAACGGGACACTGCACCATTGGCCACATGGCCGCCAGGTTCGGAGCCCCGTATAATGATTTCTGCAGAATCTGCTGAGATGAGGAGGGGGCATAATCCGTCCAGCTGTTAGTCTGCGATTGGCCAGCACTCCGAGGAAGCCGCCTCACATTTCTGTCGGACCACTTTTTCGAAAGTATAGATATATTACAGAAAGCTCCACTGGAAGGACTGCTAGGATCGCTTGAGAACCAAGATGGTTCAACGACATATAGGTATAGGCATGGGTTTCCCCCATGAGCATCGCAATGGGCCTTTGCGGCCTCCGAGTGAACTTGTTTCAGAGCTTTCCGCTTAACCTAACGTTACCTAAAGCCGCCACAAATCTTCATAGCTCTTGCATCCGCAAACGAGGAACTTATATAGGAAAATTATGGAAGCATGGCGAAAATGGATCCGCACTGATCTCGAGTAATTTTAAAAGAGGTTTGCATAATGCAATTAAGGCCGGCTTAGGCGTTGGTACTGATCACACTGCGTTGTTCCGCCTCAGAATTGTCATACAATTTCCAGCGGGGGAAGAATGGTACCGACGGAAAGTAATGGTATTCCCATCTAAACCGATGGCTCAAAGATGGAAAAATTATTTTGGACGGGTTTTAATTCGGGGAACCTCCAGCAAGCCTCCATCGTTGACCTCAGAGCACAACCTGCACCATTAACACGTAAACTGACATAAAATGACCCTGCGCAGAGGATTGGGGAATCGGAGAAAATCTTCGATAAGAATAGGTTAAGGCGGGCTGTATCTACTTCAGCGCCCTCCAAAGCACTTGAAGTAGATGTCACCTCGTCTTAAAAAGTGGCCTTCTCATCTGTTGCTGTTTTTAAGGTCTAGCACATTCCCAAAGTGGCGAGGGGCCAACAAAAGTCATACCAACCCCACAATCTTACGTTCTTTCTACTAAAATCCATAGAAAGGATCGGAGCTAATCATATTAGGGATATTTTTTTACAGGAGGTCCTTTGCATTGAACTCAACATTCCTACCTTACGGGAAGAACTACTATCCATTCTCTTTAGAATCTCACAAGAGAAATTCAGAAGTCCATACGTGCTTGGAAAACAAAGAAATTGCTCCCTTGACTTAGAGCGTACTTTCAATAACACAGAACTCTCTCTAATAGACAAATGCGTCCGGTTCAGAGCGGTGGAATTTACTAGGTGCCGCTGGATAGCAAGTTTCCTAAAATTCCGAACGTTAACTTCAAGTCTAGGGCAGGAAAGACGCTTTTTAACCTACCTCCTCTACACATTACAATCAAGAAAGAGGCTCCACTGTTTATAGAAAAGTTCATCTGAGGTGATAATGTGGATGATAAGAAGCTTATACACCCTTCCACTCTCAGGGTTTTCGAACAGAAAGGAGGACTCAATATGAGCTTTGTGGAGAAAGTGTGTGCAGATATTTCCATCAGAAAAGAGGCTCCGTTAGGTGAACTTAGAATATCTGGTTGAAGAAAGAAGCTCAACATTAATGGGAAAGTGCGGAACGTAACGGATATGCTAGACCCTTCATATATCAACAAGAGGGACCGAATCACTCCTTCATTTTCTTCCTAGGCACGAGGTAAGAAGTGTTACAGGCTTCCTTACCAGTCACTGCAGCGTAAGGAAATGCTTATCCAACCTAGAAGTTGTTAACCGTGACCAATGCAGGTTGTGCCACGAGAAACAGCAAATACCAGAGTATATTAGGCGTCACTGAAAATCACTTCCAAGGTTCAGTCTTCGCTTCCTAGAACCGAAGTACCTAGGGACACATGACCTAAATAGCATTCAGCCAAAAGACTTTGCGAGGTTCCTCAACGATGCCTGTAACCAAATAGAGGTATGTTATAATAGGTAGATGGTTTTCTGTCGCGATAACTAGGTGACCTGCTCTCTCCACAAAGGTGAATCCGATATAATTTACGCTACTAGCATAACTGAGGCACTTTAACGCCTCTCCCTGCTCGGTTCTTGGGCATTTCAAAATCGAAGGTAAAAAAATTAGTTGATGTATGGTTAGACACTGTTTGAGAATACAGATCAGGGAGACGGATAACTCTCTACAAGCACCGATTTATGATATACTGAAGAAAGTTAACGAGTAGTATAGCACAGCCCTAACGAATGACCTAAGAACCAACCGTTCCCATGACAGTCGGATCTACATAACCGGAATGGCCCAGATCATATCTGGCCAAGGACTGTCATTTCAGTTGATTTCCCAAAATTTTTATGCGGTTACAACAACAACAACAACTGTGAAGTCTCAAGATCTTATGGCCGTTGCTTAACAAGCACTAATACATATTCTCACCTGTAAATTATTTATCGTCGTGGTACGCGAACATCCAGCGTAACAGGCCGAAAAGTATGTGACCGTAGAGTTTTCAGGACAAATAGGTTGGAAAGTAGTTGCCTGACAAACGCCGGTACATTGCCTGGAACAAAAAGGCTGCAATACTTTGCCATTTGTAACACCAGCGATTGCACCAACATCACATTTGATGAAAATATTTCCAATGAAGATGGCTAATAAATGTACACCCAAGGCAATATTAACTGCAGTTATAGTCCTAGTAAAAAAGGCAAAGAAACATTTGTATATTTTAAGTTTGCAGTAAACTTAAAGAACTTAAGATATCTGAGAAATATTTACTTACCTGCCTGTAAGCTTAAGCTTCGCAATAATTAGTCCCAACACCAAAGTGCCCATCGCTGCGACGGGTGGTCGCAAGAAATATGCTACAAAACGCGCCTCCCATTCTTGCAACAGCCCATCCTGCTCGCTGTAGGGCAAGAAGAACCGCGACTGTAAATATGATTCCTCTTGCAATTCAAAGTTTACATATGCCGACCAAATGAACACTATGCCCAATAGATTGCACATCAACAATTTGTTGGTGAATAAGCGTTTCAGTGAAGGTCCGAAGCCCACATCATCAATGTAAGTGGAGAATTGACTGCCAAACGTGCGCGTATGGGTCTCCTCAATAATTCGTTGGGCCGCCTGATGTATGACCGTTTTGGGCAGTCGTTTTGGAAAAAGACTCAGCAGTATGCCACTTATTAGTACTAATGGTGCAATAATTATCCAACCCAACCACCAGCCAAGCTTTGCTACACCAACACCGATCACAATAAACGAACCAACTTGTAAGCCGAAAATTCGTCCCGCCAAAGCTGTCGCAATCACGGCTGGACTATCAATCGATTGTGAATTATCATCTAAATATGAGACACCGATTGTATAGAAAGCCAGACTGCCGAATCCCAGTGCGAATTGTAGAACGAAGAGCAATATAAGTGTACTAAGCTGGGTTTGTTGGGCAGTAAGTGTTAAGCTCTGAAATGTTGTAGTGGTGCATACATTTGCGTCCGCCTTACTGGTGGGTGTTGAAACGCCATTCGAACTGAAAATGAATTTGAAAAGAGATCAGAATGAAAAAAGGCGTGATTACCACCAGGTACTCATCATAAAAAAATGTATGTGTAAACATCTGCGTCCGGCTTGGCAAAGACGTTTTATTTACTTTACTGCGACCAGTGTACGACTTTTTCATAACCACTTCGGGAGTAATTAAGGACGATTTCAGGATCATGTCGTGACTAGTTTCGAACTACCGCGAAATGATCGCGGACTTGTCCCAAAATTGTCCTGAAGTGGTTCTGGAAAAGTTGTGAACTTGTCCCGAAGAGTCTCGAACCAGTCTTGAAACGATCCCGAAATGGTGCATTACTAGTCCCAAACTGATCCCGACCTAGTCCGGAAATATTCCCGTAATAATAGTGAACTATGCCGAAATAGTTCTGAATCAGTCTCCAAATAGTCCTGAACCAATCTCGAAATGATTCTAAACTAATTCCGCAATACAACCGTAATAGTCCTGAACTACATAGTCTCAATTATCCTGAAATAGAATCTTGAACTAGTCGCGAAATGGTCCTTAAAAAGCTCCGAGATGGTCCTGAAATAGTCCTCAACAGGCCCCGAAATATTCGAAAAATTGTGATATAATGTGGAATGCTTTTCCGTTTGGAGGCGAACCCAATTTGACAAGGAAAATCGTTCCACATTACAACGCACTCCTACCCTGTCGGAAACACTGACAAAGAAAATGAGAATTCGAAAAATTCGTGAACTTGTCCCAACATTATCTCCAATAAGTCTTGAAACGGTTCCGAAATGGTCCCTTATGAGGCGCAAAATGATCCCGACCAGTCCGAAAATGGTGATGAGCAGGTCCCAAACTAAACCCGTAATGGCCCTGAGACAGTGCTGAACAGGTCCCGAAACGTTCGAAAAATTCGTGAACTTGTCCCCAATGATCTCGAATAAGTCCTGAAACGGTCCGGAAATGGTCCCTTATTAGCAGAGACCCAAAATTATTATTATCCTAATATATAGGATCAAACATTTTGCTTAGTTTTAAGAGAAATATTTTTCGTGTTTGTATAATAATTATTTACGATAAATATTTTTTTTTGTCTCGCGGGACAATTATTTTCAGAAAGAAATTATTTAAGTTTTCTCATAAATTGGATTTTTGCTTTTCTTTCCTCTCGGGACGTTTATTTCGAGACAGAAATGGTTTACATCTTCTCTTAATAATTATATAGGACTTTTTTTTGTCTCGCGGGAGGTAAATCAAATACAATTTCCCGCGAGATGAAAAAAATAAAAGGAATATGAAAAGGTTTTTATTCTAACGATTTTCTTCTCAGGAGACGAAAACAACTTTTTCACTGTTCTGTATAATAATTATACAGTAATATTTAATTTCATTTCTTATAATCGTTATGGTCTCTGCCTATTAGTCCTAGAATGATCCCAAATTGGTCCTAAACTAGTCGTTAACTAGTCCCGAAGTTGTGCTGAAATAGCCCTTAACTATTTAGTCTAGAAATGTTCATTTGTACACACAAGAAACAATTACATATCTCTGCTGGGTTAATGCAAATTTTACCCATACCGAGTGTTAAGATGCGTACACATCGAAAATGCGAGTTCACAAAAGAAGTTAATTTTTACTTACAACCCTATTATAGCTGGTATCGCCGCAATGACACAAATAATTGATTGTGCGATAATGGTTACTGATAGCCATTTTATTGGATGCATTTTAAGAGCCCAGTGTGCGAAAACCAACGCGAATAAGGCTTGGAATATGCCGCTGCTGACAATGAGCCATTCTGGAATTGAAAAATAAATTGTTGATCAGCTCAAATTTTTTGTTAAAAACAAAATAAAAATAAATGTAATAATATTGATTTAACTGAAATGGAAATGATCATTATTTTTAGCAAAAAAATTAGTTTGGTAGTCCAAACCACAACCCGCAAATTGACAAGACAACGAAAAACAATCAGAAGTTGGTTATTTCTCTCAGTTCCAGCCCGTGGAGTTTAAGAATCTAAGAAGTTGCAGTGGGTTAATATATCTTATTTCTACTAAACCGCAAAAAAACGGTTTGTCTAGAAGATATTGCAGTTTGTGTCAAAATTTTAACTCTCATTCCAGCACCTTTTACGGAGCGGACTCGATTTTTATTTCAAAGAAGATTGTCATAATTAATTATCTCAATAATTGAAATACTATTTTTAGCATATTAAATCAGTTTATGACTTTGATTTTATAGCTGAATAGTTTTAGATCTCGACACTTAACAAGCTCCTGTTTCCACGACCCGGCCAAAAAAAAAGAACAAGTTCCGTACCTCATGCGGACTGCGCCCCTCGTATCGGTTGGCGAGAAAGGAGGGTAAAACCATTGAAAATAATTAAACAATTTATTGGGAGCTTAAATCTAGTCCAACAGTGTGCTTGGCAATTACGGAACAGGTGCTCCACTGTTCCCTCTTCTTCTTCTTCTTCTTATTTGGCGCTGTAACCGCCTAAACCGAGTCCAAAACAGCACGCCAGTCATTTCTCTTCTGTGCTAACTGACGCCAATTGAAAATGCCAAGTGAAGCCAAGTCCTTCTCCACCTGGTCTTTCCAACGCAGAGGAGGCCTTCCTCTTCCTCTGTTACCAGCATCGCGGCCCGCGTTGAATATTTTCAGAGCAGGAGCGTTTCTGTCCATCCGAACGACATGGCCAAGCCAGCGGAGCCGCTGAATTTTAATTCGCTGCACTATGTCTATATCGTTGTAAAGCTCATACAGCTCATCGTTAAATCGTCTGCGATATTGCAGCTGGTACAAGAAGTATTGTACTAGTCTTGCCGCAGGGGCTCCCAGGGGCCTGTGAAAACGCTGCGTTTTGCGCAGTAGGTGGGCCATAGGCATCTACATACAAACCCTGCAGCATTGTAGGTTTTTGCACCTGCCGTTGGCCACACTTTTCCAGTGCTGAGAGCAGCCCTTTATATAGCACAGAGGCCAATTAGATATCCAGAGCCGACCCCCGCCTTTGTACCCCGCCTAATATAAAAATAAATAATTGGGCACATCACCGTCTTGTAACTGCATAACCTATGATCAGGCGTAGACCCGACTTCTTACCTATCTTTTTCCGTTCTTTTTTTTTGGAAGACTACCCACTATTGGCCTCTTAAGTTCGATGTTCAGTCTTCATTTTCCACTTTAATTTCGGTGTACAAATGACTCCCAAATACTTAGCACAAGAGGAAAGAGAAGGCATATGTCCATTCAAGCGAGGTACGTTGAAATTTAGAAACTTTCGCATTGTAGTAAATAATAATAGTTCCATCTTCGAGGGGTTTACATTGAGCCCGCATCTGTATGTCCAAGAACTCCATTCTCCTAGTGCTTTTTAAAGAATTCCGCTTGTCACATTTAGGCACAACCCGGATACCGCAATCCCTACATCGTCACCGTTCGCGGCAACCTTAAACCCATCCCCGTTGAGTCTTAGAAGAATGTTGTTTAAAGCCGCAGCAGCGGTGACAGTACACTGCTTTTTGTGTTCCTCGTTTAGGGTGACTGATGACTTCGCTGTTGCCTAGTTTAGCTTTTACAATCCTTCTGAGAAGCATAGTTGAAATCCAGTCTATCAGGAAGTTCTCAATCCTCAGAGCAACTTCTCTCTCTCCCTAACCCTCCTTCTATGTCCATAAAAGCCGCCAACGTATACAGTTTATTTTCGACTGAAGACACCACCTTATATGCAACCTTATGGAGCACAGATTCAGTAATGCTGAGCAGTAAACAGTTCTCAGTTGCCCATCTTCGAACAATGTGCCTAGTAGTATCTCGAAGGTTTTTAGTCCTTAGGCAGGATATGTCCGCACTTGCCTCCCTTTGGAATGAACACTATATATTTGGCGGTTATTGCTCGATACGTAAATAAATAAATAAGTTTTTATTAGGACCGGAAGAGGAGCTAAGAGCTCGGAGCGAAAAAAAAATATCGGAGCGGAGCTAGAGCGGAGCGATGAAAGAGATGTTTATTACAGTTATCATGAGACGGTGCACATATGTACATATATATGTGGTTATAGGTATGGGATTTGTGGTTGCGCGGAGCCTATGACAAAGTACATACTAAGTAAGTTCAACAAGTTTAGCCTTATCTGTGCGAACATGCCAAAATTCTTATCATGATTCATGTTATCTATTAGTAAAGCACAAAATGATCATCTCATAACTCGCCCATGTCTTTGTTAAATTAAGAGAAATTCGGCAGGGAAGTGGTAAGGACCACCATAATTATTACGTGATTACACATATGTAATTCCCACTACTGGAGCTGACAGCCTACCAGCTGAACTCTTCAAGTATAGCGGCGTTCTCTGCCCAATCCATAATAAAGGCGATCGCGCCATTCGCGCCAACTGCCCGGGATCAGCCTTCTAAGCATAGGTCACCAGGTCTTATCGAGTTATCGAGCATATAATGTGAAAGATCGAAACCCACCGGCACCAAACTGATTGGGTCATATCAGTCTCTGGCTTTAGACCCGGAAAATCTACCATAGACCAGGTATTAACAATACGCCAAATCTTGGAAAAGACACGCGATAAGCAAGATTTACGGGCCTTTGCGCGTTGGCGATGGCGAATACCGCAGACGATTTAACGACGAGCTGATATACAAAAATCTTATACCAGCTTATGCATGGATTTGAAATTTAAGACCTGACCACCAATTCTTTGAACTCTACAGATATTTCCGAAAATATATTCAATGATGCGACGGAAGTTAATTTTAGCAAAGAATGACAATTATGATTACGCACCTGTGTGGGGAGTCCACATACTCGTATACACACATAGGTACATATGTGTGTGTGTATGGATATTAGGGTATCCCAGAACAAAAATGGTGAACTTTTTCTGAGCAAATTCGATATATGCAGGTACATACGCACAAAGGTATATTAAATAGGTAGCAGCATTAGTGCATAAAGACCATGCCCGATAACTTATAACTTTGCCAGCAAAGCGCAAGACACAAAAGGTATGTCACAATAAACGCTAAGGAAACGAATTCGTACTGCTTGTTTACTCCTGAAAATTGCTGTGGATTTTATTTGGTTTTAAAAATATCAGCAATGTAATTAATTTTTTGTTTCTGCATGCAAACTCGAATTCGAACTAAACAAAATAAAAATTAAACCAGCTGATGGTCAACGCGCAGCTAAAACGATCTATGTGGCATGCTTCGTACATTTGCATACATTTTATCTTATCTGTCAAAGCGAACCTGTCACGCAAAGCGAAGCTAGCGTTTTATATGGCATAGCCTTAAACAACAAGCTGCTTGTATATTGTAAATTTGTACTGTCAAAAAAGTAAACAAAAACTGACACTGCGGAGTAAAATTTATATAAAAATTACAACTCATGGCCCACTTCGAATGAAAAAATAAATAAAGTTGCAAACCTGCTGCTGCTACTTGTTTAATGTGCCTTGATACCCACTATATTTCCATGATTTTGCCATAAATCCAATCTCCAAAAGCCATTCAAGGTTAAAATCGAACATATAAAAAATTGTACGTTTTTTTAATTTTCGGCAAAATGTTAAAACTTATCACTAACAGCCGGTTTCACCAGCAATTTATATAAATTTCCATATAAAATTAAAAAAATTTAAATCATTTTTCACTTAAATTGTTTTAGTGAAATTGGCTGTAAATATCATAAAATTTTTCTTGGAAATTCAAAACTTTTAATTTTCTTAAAAAAATACATTTAACCAATTCTGAATTGTAGGCTAACGCCACCAAAAATTTTCTTATTACTTAATTTTAGCAATTTTTTAATAAAAATAAGATTTAATCTTAAAAAAAAAGCAGTATAAATCCAAGTTTTAAACTTCGCACAATATTAAAAACAGCAACAAACTTTCGTAAAAATTACGAGCTTGGAAAGATTCTGAGTATTCTGAGTATGCAGTTTTATAGCCCATTTTAGTATAATAAAGTGCAAGTTTAAAGTAGCTTTGACTTACCGTTGATTTTTTACCTTTTTTTTCTTAACGGTGTCAGTCATCTTCTTCCATACGATATTGAGTGAGAAGTTCTAACATTCGAAGTCGCTGGCTCATATCCCAGTGACCGCGGTTAAAGAAGTCTGATGAGGAGATGTAGTGATCTCAGAAATAGCAGCAACAACTTTTACCAGATGTAAATTATTGTTGTTTCTCCACAACATTTTTTTATTAAATACGGCCTCAAGCTCAATAAAAATTGTTGTATATAATTGTTATTAGGCCAAAAACAACAAAAAAATAAATAAAAAATTTTCCGAAAATTAAAAAAAAAAAATCTTTAAATTTTTTATATGCACGACTTTATCCTCGAATAATTTTTAAAGGAATAAAGAGTTTTTTACAGCATTCAATTGCCTTCAATAATATATATATATCGCTCATTCCGATACGTTGACTTAAAAAAAAATGATTGCATTTTCAAAATTCAGAACTTTTTTCCTGTGTTATGCTAGATTTCCACTAGGCATTAAATGGCTAAAATGACAAATGATAAAGTCGGGCATTAAAAAATAACCGTGTCATTACAATAACAAAATAATCATTAAGTTCATTTCCACATGGCATTTTTTTAAATAGTAGTGGAAATTCGGCATTATTTATGTATATGGAAAATATAAATTCGCGATGATCGACATCTAAATCTTAATATTAATGGCTGCACTTTTGACACGCGCCCTTTTCACTGTCCCGAAAATATTTCACAAGGGATTTTGAAAAAAAAAGAAAAAATTTTTCGAACCGGTCTAATATACTTGTACTACATACAAACATATGTACGTTTTATGATTTGATCGTAAAACAAATCGATGACTGTAATGCGCTCATTGATAATGAAAACACAGAGTAGATACGATAATGTTTTTGCCATATAATTATAAAGTTAGTTTGCACAGTGATAACAAAAATTCCAAAAGCTGGAAATCGGTGACACATATTTTGAGAAGTCAAGAGATATCTTCCTTAGATAACAAAAGAAAAAATTTAGAAGTCAGCTTACAACAGTTACACATATATTTTTCATTTCTTAAGAATGTTTTTTTTTATCTTAAAAGGCTTCCAATTTTTGTACGAGAACCCTATTGAATTTATTCAAAATGATGAAGGCCGAAATATGTACATTAGGGTGCATCACTCTCCATAAAAAAAACACGGTACCGTTTTTCCATTGGTATTATAAAATTTGTCATATTTTAATGGCCTTATTCATAAAAAATAAAGTAGCTTTATAAAAGGTTTATTAATTGAAAAATGTATGCAAACGTCAATTTATAAAGCTCTTTAAGCCAACTTTATTTTTTATGAATAAGGCCATAAGACTTTAGCCGAAATATTTTGGAAAAATATCAACTTTTACGTGAGCCGGACTTATTTGAATGTAAATACCACCAAAAATCTAGGTTTTTATAAAGAAATTTCGTTTTTTTAAATAATTTTTCTAAAAAATTACCTGAGATCATAGAAGAGCTTAAGCCTAACCGGTCTGCATACCAATTTCTTATATTTTATCAACGGAATCAAAATAACGAGATTTTTGGAGGTATGTTCAAAAGGGGCCAGCTCACGCAAATCTTAATATTTTTCCGACATATTTTGGCGAAAGTCTTTTAAAATATTATAAGTTTTATGATTCCGATGGAAAAGGCGCTACTTTTCTTGGTGATGCACCCTAATGTCCATGTACATATACATACATATACTTAAACTTCCACAAAAAAAAAGATACGTACCTACAATTATAGGATTATATCCATTCTCCAGCGCCGCTTCCTTTGCCGATATGCGAAAGTAAGTTTCGCAAATTCCTTGAACTAAACCAGCGAAGGTCAGCGCCAAAACAAAGGTACGCAATCGTGCCATTTTGAGGCATTGTGGGCCATTACAGCAGCCAAATAATTTTATGCCACAATCAACACTATCTGTGAAGAGAAAAAAAATATTGTTTTTAAACACTTTTATGTACTTTGCACATACATATAGAATTACAGTTTTTAAATCTTTGATTTCACATTTTTTAACATCACTACACTTTTCATTTTTCTTGTGAATATGATTCACTTGTCTAAATGCTAACCATTTGGTATATTATTGGAACTGACGGCTATTTGCGATAAGTCTGAACTACGTGTGCCTGCCGTCATTTTGAATACATCTATAATTGGTCGGAAATATAACAAAGCATGTAGTATATATTCTTTTTCTAATTTTTTCATTTACACTGTTTTGTTGCACTTTTGATTTCAATTTAAATATAGTATTCGCATTTTAAATTATCCTTAGAAGTTAAATTATGAGCTATATTCGATAAGTACGTTAACGCATAAAATTATTGACTTTTAATACAGTATAAAGGTATGTATGAAGACAATTAGGCGTTATATGTTTAATTATTTTTGTTACTGAGCTTTCGTCGTTACTCGAAGCAGGCCAATGACTAATTCAGTCTTTTTCGTACAGGTGGAATCGCCATGCCATAACTCTACATGCTATACGCACTCATGCTTCATTCTTTATCGCCACCAAACAGTTTTTAGATAAGTGGCCAACCATATAGTAGGTAGTTTATCAGTTCTTGATAAGCGATACCTCTTTCGCCCTTTTACATCTTCCATATCCTATACAGTTTTATTGCAAAACTTACAAATAAAAAAATTAAATAAAAACAATTCAAAACAATGCAACATGTTGCGTTCGATGCGTGCTTGGCGCCGTGAAACAGTGTTGGAAACTCCATTTGGTGAAAAACAAAAGAATGTGAATACAAATTTAGTTTATTTTAAACAAAAGAGTGACAAAACTTTCTGATATTCGCAGCAATTATTAAGTCTGCTATACACTCGAATTTTTCGAATGGGTTGTGCGCTGGGCTTTGAGACGACGACGAGTGAGAACACTATCCTAGGACTTTTTTCGAAAACCTGTTTTTTCAAAAAATGGCGATTTGAAAAAAACCGGCGCCCATTTACTAATTGAAAAAAAATGGGATTTTCCGGATTTATTTTCTACAATAACACATATGCCGGATTTCTACTAAATACATACATTGCCATTAAAAACCGTGTCCCTTAATGCCTAGTGGAAATTCAGCATTACTGTCACTATCAAAATCAAAATTTGACTTCTAAAAATTGGTAAAACTTTAATTTAGAAATCATTAAGGCAAAATATGTTCGAATTATTTTGGATTACAAGTAAATCAGAAATAAATGAGTGAAAAATTTACACGTAATAGAGTTCACCGCGATTAGATCACTAAAACAACAGTCGTTTGTCGGGAAAAACTTGAGTATTTATGTAGAGCCGACCGTCTCCGGAATTAGAATACACCATCAGCTGGAACAGACCTACTATACAAATATAGCCCATTATAGACAGGCCATTGACCTTCGTCAACTCTCACCCGTTGAATTGTATCGTCGGAGACCAACGCCACCTATCGCAGACGAAGAGCTCTAGTTGCTTCGTGGTGCTCGCGATACTTTGACATAACTCGATTCTGGATATTGCAGCACGTTAAGCTGTCCAGTCCAATTTGAATAAGATGTCTCGACGACACTAACCGCAAGCCCACTCACATCAGCTCATCTCCCTACGGCCCAAACCCGTCGTTTCTGGCATTCTCCTGAGCGACAGGTAGGTTAGATGAGAATGAAGACAACAAGTAGTCGAGTACTAATTTAGACAGAGTTTAGTAAGAATGTTCTAGTTTCATTATCAATAAAATAAATATTTTGAATTTTCAGACCTTGTACATAAACTGGTGAAACTCCGGTTTATTCGATTGTAAAAGTCCGGTTTACTCGTTATTCGAAAAACCGCGTAGAAATATTCGAAAAAATCGGTTGCAATCGGGTCCATCGCCCTCCTAGGAAGCCCATTTAACGTTGACGACGAACCCTCCATCCTGCTTAAAAAAGAAACTCTTCTTCGGCCGGATATAAACGAGCAGTGATACTTCACTACCCAATCTCTTCTTGCCGCTGTGGAAGAAGTGGTTGGATAATTCCGCCCAAGCAGAAATATATTGTAGGACGAAGAGTCACAAGTTGCAGCTGCAGAGAAATACGCTGTATACAAAACCACCCTGCAGACAATAGCTATGCGAGCGACAGTTGAGCTATGCCGGGAAAAGAAGAGTAAAGAGAGACAAGTAAAGAAGTATAAGTTCGGGCGAAACCGAACATTATATCCCCAGCGCACATATTAAATATCGTTTTTTCACCTTTCAATAAACTGCATGATAAGCATGAGTATTTTTCCAAAGAGTTCGATAATATGCTATGATTAATTGAAATAATTGGACCAAGTTTGGGGGAAATCGGTAGGGCGGCTATCTATATACACCTATGTAGTCATAAGTGGGTGGTACCACGCCCATTTAACAAAAATCAATAATCTTGTGTCTTGTTAAGTGATTGTTGTTTGTTGGCGTCTTTAGTTATTCAAAAATCGGAGTTTTCGTGTTTCTGAAATTTACCGTTATATGGTAAGTGGCAGTACTTTTAGTCCGATTTCAAAAATTTTCAACATGTTGCTTTCTTGCGCCAAGGTTGATAAATGTGCCGAGTTTGGTAGGAATTGGTATACCGGTTACCGAGATACAGATATGTAGGCGTAACTGGGCGGTGCCCGCCCATTTTCGAAAAAATTCCCTAAGCACAATTTCCTGCCAAGAGGTCATTGCATATATCTATTTTGAGCAAATTAGCTTAAATAGTTACTAATTTATCGCAGTTTTCATATTTCTGTAAATTACCGTTATATGGGAGGTGGGCGTGGTTCTTGTCTTATTTAAAAAATTTTCAACTGGTTTCTTAGTGAAGCCGAAAGCAATGTTCGCACCGAGTTTGGTGGCGATTGGTAAAGGGACTACAGAGATACAGCATTTTATCATAAGTGGCCGGGGCCACGCCCATTTTCCAAAAATTTCATAACTGTCTTATTTTATGCCGAAATTCTTCTTCGCGTACCAACTTTCCACAATTCGAATCCAGTATTGGCGGGGATACCGAAGTTTTTGCATATTTCGAAAATACCGTTACATGGGAGGTGGGCGTGGTTATTGTCCGATTTTGCCCATTTTCAATCCCAACCTACCTTGGATAAAGGGAAACCTACTTACCAAATTTTGTTGACATATCTTCATTTTTTTCTCAAGTTATCGTGTACACGGACAGATGGACAGACGGACAGACGGAGATACATGGCCTAATCGATTCCTCTTTTCATGCTGAGCATTTATGTATACATTTGTCTATATCTATCTCGATACGTTTTGGCTGTTACAAACAGCCATTATGCGAACAAAGTTATAATACCCTTGTGCACAAGTGCACTCGGGTATAAAAATCGGCAGCATTCAAATGGTTTCATAACCTGGACAAATTTCTGGATTAACGAAGATGGAAATCTAGTAAAAAACGTTCAAAGTAAACTTGAGACATGGAGACGAGGTGAGGCGGCTTAAAAACAACAAAGCTCCGGAGCAGACGGTTTACTGACTGAGCTGTTCAAAGCCGGCAGCGAAGAGTGAGCATATGTATATGTAACAGCTTTTAAGCAGCATTTGGTATGTTGACTTCATGCCCGTTGATTGGAGTATCCAGTGTACTTTGCCCAAACCACAAGAAGGTGGAATAAGCCTTGTTATTATTTCGTACAAGGTCTTATCTACGATACTGAAGCCTTTCATGATCCAAACGATTGGACCTTTCAACCTTCAGCTTCAACTTCAGACCTGAAAAATCCACCATCGACCAGATTTTCACAGTTAACAAATCCTGGAGGAGATACTAGATAAGCAAATCGACATATACCATTTAAGGCCGCTTTTCATAGCACGAAGGGAAGCTGCCTGTATGACGCAATGTCTAATATGGCTTGGTAGGATGACAACCTTCAGCTCCATTTCAATTGGGACGGACATCTCCGCACCGTTTGCGACCAAACAAGGTTTCCGACAAAGCGATTCACACTCGTGGGACTTTTTAATCTTATGCTAGAAAGCCACCAAAAGTTTGTTTTCAGTCCGAGCACTGTCACCAATAAGGTCAATCTGGAGATCAAGCGAAGAATAACCCCTGCCAACAGGTGCTACTTTGCCTTGGTAGCCAATTCGGCACCCATGGTTGGACTATGAAAGCAAGAGCGCCGCGAAAAAAAATCGAAGATTCAAGTTCAGAAGGACCTATTATCACTCGGAATGTAGAATGGTTGTAGACCCAAAAAAGAAGAAGGTATACTCGGGGACTTTTGTTTAGTAATTATTAATTTTTTATTCAATGGGGAAAACTTGCAATATAACGATATGATTTTCATTCTTAACGCCGAACGCCAGATCAGAAGTAGTCTGCTAAAGGGGACTATTCTTAGACAACTCATAATCCATCTCAAATGTCAGAGTGACCAGTTTCGACAAAAAAAAATCCAGTTCACTGAAAACGACTTTTAAACAGCCTTTACACGGGTCGATTTTCCAACGAGCCGTGTAAAGACAGCTTTACTACACTGATTAATAACTCAGCTGGATTTGCGATTTTGAAAATATTTGCTTTTCTTTTATTTTCAAAAAATCTCTCATATTTGTAAATGTAAATATTTTCAAACAGACAATCGCTAATCTAAACAAATATTTCAATATGTCGCGAAGTTTATCTTTAATCTTATTGTTTATTGCGCTTTTGTGCCCAGCATATTGCACGCCGGTTTTATTTTGGCAAGCTCAAGTGTAAGTTTTTGCTAAAAAAGTTCAACCAACTAACCAACTTCTGGATACAGTTAGTTACAGTACATACCACTTTTATGCATTTTTTCTGAATAGCACTGCCAAATCAGTATTCCCTAGAGTTGAGCAAGAGGAATTTCTTCAAGAAATAAAAGCCTTAATTGACAGTAACAAAACGATCATCGCATTTACATATGATAAGGTAATCAATCTCGCTAATGCGTGGGGTGCTTAAAACAAAGTTTATTATTACTTACCTCCTCATACCTGGAATTATTATTTATTATTGCAGTATTTGCTTTCAATTTCTTTTGTAGCTTTTGTTAGTGGATTTTCGTTGCGAGGATTGTTTCTCATATCTCAGCCAGCAATCGTCCACTTTTTACGCCAATGTGGAAAAGCCTGCCGAAGCTATTAAAAAATTATCTCCGGTACTTGAACTTTACGTTCAAGAGGATGGAAGAATGGAATCTCCATTACAGTGTCAACCGGATAAGCTATATATGATATCCTTAGATGAACTCAAAAGTCACATTAATCCAATGAAGAGTTGTGGTAAGTTATTGCATAATTACATTTATCGACATCTTACTCGTTTGTAAACTCGAAACAAGTATAATTGAATAAGTATAGCCTATATGTAGTGATACCGTTTGGTTCGATGTCGACCTTGCAACTAGAAATAGAACCAAACAATTTCATTTACGTATAAAGCTTTCAAGTTCCCATAATTTTGACAAGCTTAAGTCTAAGACACAATCGAAAAAGGGTTTATGAAGAAATCAGTGCCTGAGTTACGTCAGTCCCAGGTGATACAGAGAGAGT